TCACAATGAAGCAGAAAAAGATAATAATTATATATTGCATTTGTTGTATATACGTAGGTATTATTAAAAAGGAATAAAAGCGAGTGTTCAATAAACCCAACTTCGCTTCACGTACATTGAAGTAATGGCCTGCTCTCTGAAAATCCCATGTGTCATTTCTACTGGAAATATCCCTTTTCCGGCCGAAGTACAGAGACGTTAAGGAAATCCATTATATCGTTTGAAAGGTATTTCTGCGGAACATGAGATACAGTAACTGAAATTGTGATTCACATCACCCATATTTAGTAATTACTAAATTAGTTTTGTTACTTAAGCCTTAATCTACAATTTGAGACTTTTTGGCGTTTTTTTCAAGATGAGTGTCACTCCATATTTGCATTTGTGTACGTGAAAAGCACATTATTAATAATAGTATTAATAATTTTTGCACGCGTAAGATTTTGTTTTTACGAACGTTCATAGTGATAATATCATTTCTTCACTTAATTTAACCTTACACTGAAACTGTTATTATATTGCATTTAAACATGTCCCATTATTTACTTTTGTTGTTGTTGACATTAGGATGCTTCCGAGGTGGCTGCAAACGAGCCTTTGAATTGTTGGAGAGGAAAGTTGGAGAGGAAAGCGTTTCTATGTACGAAAAATATGTATCGATGAACGGAATGATTGGGAAGGAGGATATAAACGGAAGTGTATAAACGAATGTCTTGTTTCATATTCATGTGGTAAGTATAAAGGAAAATATACTTGTACATAACCAAAACAAGGCGTTCTGGAGACAGAACTGACTTCTGTGTGCCTTCTCAGACATGCGGAACCGAGGAGAAGCCCATTGATCACCCTCTTGGAGTGCCACTCACGTTAATTCAAAACAGTGTGCTGCAATGATACAAAACCAGTGGTTCTTAAACAGAGTATACGTTCTCGCATTATTTCTAAATTTACAAGTTTCGTAAATTTAGAGAGTTCAACGAAAATGAGACCTAGGTCATTTTTAAAGCGTCCCTCGTTCTATCCGTAGGAAAAAATAAGAAAAAAATTTAAACGGGTTTTGAGAAAATGTTTTTTTTATAAATGCATAAATTTCAAGCACAATTTACGCAAAAACTACTTGTTTTTTACTTAAAAATGTGCATTATTTTTTTAATAGATCTTATTTTTTAGAACAGATTTTGTAAGATAAACATTTTTCTCTTAAATTTTGTAGTTCTTAAATGTTAAAATGTTACAGCTTGCGGGAAATGAGATTGGCACAGTGTGTTTTACCGTCCCGTGATGCACACGTCGGCGCGCGCGCCAACGCGCGAGTGGAGTGGCAGCCCTGCGCGCGCGGATCCGGGAGATCCCCGGCCTCGCCGCATCCGCCCGCCCTTCGGCTCAGGCTGCGTTTCACAAAACAAATGGTTTATTCCAAGTACTGTGTTTCATACCAAGAATTTGCGATGGAAAACTCTTGTAATCTTTTATTAAAGGGTCTGTTGTTTTAATTTCACAAAATAAAGACATTTGCACAATGTACCTTGTATCATTTTTACTTTCCCGCCCATACGAAAGTACTTCTTAAGAAGAGAAACTTGTGTAATGCTGCGGGGGAAAAAACACGAATTTTTTGGCAGAAAAAGTATTATTGCGGAGCCCTGGTAACGAAAAAATGGATAAATCCAGTTGCTAAATTTACAAAAAAAACCCTCCAACACGTGATGCAGCCAGAAGCCATGTTTTGTGGGTCCTTGATCCTAAAAATCGATTGACGGCGAAACGTCCGTCTGCCCGTCCGGCTATGAGCCACGCTAGCGGCTAAGCAGTTCAGACGATTTTCTTCAAAATTGATATTCATCAATTGACCTGGCTGGTACTTTCCATTAAGAAGGAAAGTTGTTAATGCATTGTGTTTATTTATTTAGAAAATGTATAAATGTAACTTCTAATGTACTTACAGAATATCAAACAAAAATAAAAACAATGCAATTGATGTTGGAAACAAATTTTCAAGAAAGGTTTATTCAGTATTGTAGAGATATGTTCTTCGAACAATTCACACTTCCTTAAAAACATTTGAATTTACTTTACAGATAGCTTTTCGCTTTCCTTGATAGACACAAAAATATTAGAAAAGGTTTTTACTCTTGGGAAAGACAAGTAAATAGTCAAGTTTTCCACGCAAAAGTACCGCATCGGGCTTGTACAACCCTACTCTTTGCAATATTATTTAACTTTCCTGGATTTATGAGAAACAGAGGGGGTTTAAGAGAGACAGGGAGACAGCTTGCTGGGGTGCGAAAATTGAAAAAATACCGTATTTGTATACTAAAAAGTATTGGATTATTTTGTGCGTTCCTACGTAGCTCAAGAAAAGCAATTCCTAGCCAAAAAATAATAAACCTAATATTTTCATCTTGGAGTATTAAACACAATTTGTGACCATTAGAAACAATTTAGGTTTAGAATTCCGCACGTGGGAATGTTGCTCAAACGATGTTATGTATTGAACATCTTAGCGAACCGACATCTTAAGTTAAGTCAAATTGCGTATTATTTACTATATGAGTTTACAGCTGAGCATTGATGTACAGACTTCCAGATACCGCCAACTTTTAAAACGTGCGTCTGGATTGCGATATTTGGCAGTTGTCCAGTGACTTGCGCTATTCTCTCTATAATTTTAAATTTAGTCGCTTTTTTAAATGAATTTCCGTAGTATTGTAGGCTAACGCGATTTGATTTTTTTGTTTCTTTATTTCAAGCTATTTTAATTTAAATAGTTTCTTCTTTGTTGTGCCATAGCACAAGTTTTCCACATCTACCTCCATGTATCCGTGTGAGAACTCACGCATGTCTAGCCCCATACTCTTTCCTATTCTCTTACTTCCGTTTTAAGAGGGAAAGTTGTTAACGAAACGTATTTATTTGTTTAAAAACGCATAAATGTAACTTCCATTGTACTAACACAATGTAAATAAAAAATACAATTGATGTAGAGAAGAAATTTTCATTAAAGATTTATTCAGTATTATTAAGAGATTTTTCGAAACGATTTACAACACTCTCTTAAAAATATTTGAAATAATTATTCAATATTCTTTGACAGTTAGCATTTCGCTTTTCGTGACAGTCACAAAAATATTAAAAAATCTTCTTGCTCTTGAGATAGCTACATGACTGAACACGCTGACTTGCAAGTTTTGTCTAATCACTGCTGATCACGAAAATACTAGTACAGTTAAAACACAAACCAAACTTAACAAGACGTGTCTTCACTCTTCACTGTACACCTGCATCCTTCCTCAATGAGGTACACAGCACTTGTAGACCTCGATAAAACGTTAAATGAACGTTTACACTACACGCATAAGAAACAGTTTTCATCGGAATCAAGCCACAAAGGTGGTCACCATTACCAAGGGTTGAAATCTAGGTGGCATTGGTAGTGTCGATAAGTGCCGAACCAGCAAAAATGTAATAGAATGTACAAAAATATCTTATCCTGTAGATTATGGTGTGAGGAATGTTTCTTTGTGGCCTCAAAATTGTAGTTTTTAAGACCCTAAAACACTTGGTTTAGAAGTTATTTTACGATGGAGCTGACCGAGTGTTGGGGGTTGCATTTGACCTGATTATTTAGATACATTTTTTAAACAAATCCTTCACAATTTTAAAGTCAAAGTGCAATTCGTCACATCTCCGTGGAAGTCTCTTTCTTTAGAGACTCCATTTATAAAGAGTGATTGCGCGAGAGAGTCGCAAAAGGTATGTATACTACTGAAATAATATAGGAGACGATTAGTCACATGTGTTTTTTTCACTTTCGAATCTGCTTTAGCACTTAAGTGTAAGGAAAATATTTTACTTTGTGATATTAAACCTTATGACCATCTTGTATGATGGCTACGAATGTATTTTATTCCCGACGCAGTCTCTTCGAAGTGATATACAAGTCTCCCTTTTGAATTTTGAAATGGCATCAGTGAAATCGAAATTATATTTTTCGTTCCTGTAATTGCCAGTTCTGAGAAGAATAGATCAATGTCATATACAGAAAGATGTCCTCAAAATGCTTAAAAGGCCATACTCAAACGTAGAATGGAATTCCTCAGAGCGAACAAAGTCTATTGTCATCAATGAAAAAAATCTTAACTGCTGTAATCGTCCTTTTTCATTTAGATTTTTAATACAGCCTGTGTTTCCACAGAAATACAAAACACGATCGTTTCTTCGTAGTTCGGGCTGACAGGGATATCCAGGTAGATCGCGATTGGAGTAAGAAAAAAAGCAAAATCATGATAAAAGACAAAAATAGGCATCAGCATTTTCTAAGCTATCTGGGATCAGCCGCGTACTGCAGTACGCTCTGAGGAAGGCCACATGTTGGCAGAAACGTCAGCCACCACGACAGACACGGTTAAATCCGGGTAGCCTAGACAACACTAACTCCGGCTGCGGAAGTCTTACTTGCATACAGTACTTACACCTACTTACGTGCATTACACTACCATACAAGAGGGGAGACCATACACTCTGGTGCTTCGAGCTTGTCACATCTTGGGTGGGAGATACCTGGGTGGAAATATTCATAAGCCAATGAGTGGGTGTGGATCTCACCATACAGCTGGGGAAGAACACCATTGCTTTCCGTGATTAAAGTTGCACTACGCTTATGAGGTTAGTAATAACAGTTGACGTGCCCAGAAACACAACTTTCCAAATACTTCATATACAATATTCTGTTTTTGAAAAACAAATCTTTAAATAACGTCATGTAAAACGCGAGTAGTTTTCGCGAATTTTTGCGTGAAATATAGGTAATTTTTGTACAATCACTCTATTAGTTCAAAAACGGTGTCAAATTTTACCTATGATTTTTTTTTCTGAGACCCAGCGAAAATTACAAAGTTACAACTGATGTGAAAAAGTACATGCTACTTTGGTTCCACTAATTTTGTCATTATAAACATCAGTGGTTTATGGTTGGTAACTTATAATTCTATGTGGTTGGTAGTGTTGTAGATGGCAGCAGTGTCAACAACGTCAAAAGGCGCGAAACGGGGCTTAGTGTTCGTGTTACGTCTTTCGCTAGAATTTTATAGTTGGGAAATTTGTGTAATGGGATTCGAAGTCCGCGTGTGGTGATTTTGTTGCTGCATATTGCTTTGTCGAAGTAACAAAATACCAGCAAACTCTTAATAAGGTTCAGAAGTAAAATAATTGTTAACAAATGGATATCAACGAAAATATTGAACATATCGTCAAGTCCAATGTGGATTTGGAAAAATGTCTCACCAACCGTGATTCTAAAGATAACATTACGTTTGGATCAGGTGTGAAATTTTCAGATCCATGCATTGTTGGAATAGATGAAGCAGGAAGAGGTCCTGTTCTTGGTAAGAGGTGTAATACTTATGAGGTGTAAACCAATGTATGTTTGCCACTGAATGGTTTGCTTATTAATTATTGTTGAGATCTAGATTATATTCACTCACTTGAGAATTGTCTTCAATATTTTCTGGAAGCAAAACAATGCAATGGTTGTCAAAAATAATTAACATGTTTGTTGGCGTTTGTATCATCTACAAACTAAATTGAATTTTCAGATCTAAAAATATTGTAATTTAATTTGTTTAAAGAAGTAAAAATATTGTATGTTGTCACTAGAGAAAAACTTGACTGATCTCTTTTCTCCTAACACAAAACAAGTTTTATTTGGTTACATTCGTGAACTATAGGTAATATAACAAGCCATGAATTGTTAATGTGCATTCTATTCCTTGTTTATCAATTCTTACTAAGTGATCAATCAACATTAGTCAAAGCAGAGTATATTTTAATTGTGGTTATTGAACTTAAGAATACTTCTTATAGTATGCCCCTAATAATATTTGAAATCAATGAAATTCTTTTATATTCCTTATTGAATTATCCAAGTCACTTGCTTCAGGCTATTTAATGTATATTTGATGTTCTAGGACCAATGGTTTATGGCTTATGCTATTATCCACTGGGGAAGGAAAGCATCTTTAATGATTTAGGATGTGCTGATTCCAAGACTCTTACAGATGAGAAGAGAAAAGATATATTTCAGAAAATGTGTTCTGACGATGTAGGATGGATTGTGGAAGCTCTGTCACCAACTTTCATTAGTAACAATATGCTGTTGAGGTATTAATTACAAACTTCTGAACCCCTTACAAACATTTAATTTACCCTACTTAAAAAATGTTCTTAAAATAGGTTCTAATTTATTTTAGAATTGAAAAGTATTGAGAACTTTTATCTGGTAAAGTTTCTAATTTATAGTAGTGGTAGTAGTTCCTCAGGTTATGATCGACCTCTGGTAATCCATTTATGAATACGCTTAGCAGTGGAGAAATCTTTTGATTCTGACGATTCTGAAATACCGAATAAATTGAAAGATTACCTAAATTGGAAGAAAATGTATAACGAATAATTATTACTAAAGGATATTTAACTTATTATTCTATTTCTTTTGTTGATAAAGAAGACATCTAAGAAATGACACCATACAGGTTTATTTTCGAGATATTTTCTAATGGCAAATACAAATATTCATATTTTTTACTGTAAACATACGTGTAGAATGTGTATTGATATTTCTAATGAAAAAGTTGTTTTTTTATAAGAGTCTTTGTAACTAGTAAATGTAGCTTCACTATGTGCACATTTTGTTGAACTCTCCTTTTGCTTGTCGTGGTAGCAGTGGAAGTAAGGGCGAGTTACTATTTTGTTAGCAATGCAGACAAATCAAATCTGCAGTTTGTTTATAGTTGCAAATAAGTTTTCTTGTACTCAGGAATGAAAATTTCTCATTTTTCAAATGTTGCTAATCTTGTGCGTTTTTAAATTTTATTTTTATTTATTTATCTTTAACTTTTACTTATCTTTCAACTATTTATAGTTAAAATGATGGGAAGGGATTCTGGAACTTTAGAAAACATGTGCAGATGATCTTCTCCCCCATACGTTTCATACAGTTTTTACTGTTTTTTTGATTAAATAAATCTAAATAGAAATTATAATTATATACACAATATTCAAAGAATTTGTAATTTTATTGTCCTTGTGTACCAATATGATTAAAATGAACTTTAAAATTTATTACACCAACCATTCAATTTCTGAAACAAGTATTTATAATTTTGTAAAACACTTACATTCCTGAAAGTGTTTGCAAAATCTACTCTCAGAAATTTTGCAGTGGAGAGGCTGAGTAAGGAGCTTTTGAGGGGAATCTGGGGGGGGGGAATAGTGGACCAATGAACATAACATGTTACATAATTGTGATAAGCAAGATATGAGCGGTTTTGCCAGCAAGGCATGTGCTGTGTTCTCTTCACCAAAACTTCATTTCTGTAGTAATAGGAGCTAGCAGGCTGATTTTTTCTCTACTTACATTTCATATCATTAAAAGAGATGATTAATTTGAGAAATCGAAAAGATTTGAAAGAAAAAATGAAATTCATGGGAGAAGTGCATATGCCCTGGCAGATGAGGTTGCGGAAGGTGTGTAATGTGCCGGGCAACCTGTGTGTGCTGCGTTATTCTGGCCATGGTAAGAGACATAAATTGTCTTTGACATTCTGTATCACTGATTTCTAATGAGTGTGAAAATTGAAAGAAATCTATGCTGCATCTGTCTGTTTGAGAGGTGTGTATGGTTTCCTTAGAAACCCTGGAACTCAGAAAAAAAACAAAAACATTGAAACATTTTTGATTTTGTCTGAAAAATGCCAATACTTGATTGTGTTATTCCGTTTCCACAGAAAGACATAACTGCCTTCATGTTGACCAGGTTTGTAGATATGTTTCCAACTTGTTTGAGATTAGTGCCGGGAGGGGAAGAAAAAAAAAAAAAAAAAAAAAAAAAAAAAAAAAAATTCAGGGTTTCAATGATTTAAACAAAATATTCAGAATTAGCTCATCAATGTAAAACAAAAATATAATTTATTGTAAATTTTACAGAGAATGATTAAAAATTGTAAGATGATAAAGAAAAGAATGACAAGTTATAACATTTAAGGTATTTATTTATTAATAAATGATGCACTATAATAGCTTCTATGAATTATTTAGTTACCACTCTATGGATTTGAGTTCTTTCAAAACTGTTGGATCTCAGTTTTCTAATAAAAGGAGCTGTTTGCAATTATTTCAAAATTCTGGTTATGAGTTAGTCACCAACATCATCATAGTTGGATTTTAAATATTCAAATGCTTATCCTTTTTCCTGTTCCTTCAAGGCTTGAGTGTTTTAAAGAGAATATTTCGGTGTTAAGAAGTAGCTGGATTGGCTTGTGTGTGTGTGTGTGTGTGTGTTTAAAATAAAAAAAATCAAATTTTAGTAATCCTGGAATTTTAAAAATGTTTGCTAATCAGAAAAAAGTAGCCTAAGTAATGCCTGGCAAAATACTCTACCTTTTAGTGAAAAAACCATTGAAAAGGGTTTAGTTGTCCCAGAGATTAGTACAGACAAACAGAAAAAAAATGTAATAGCAGATGTAAAAACAATGTGAAATTTTATGAAATTAGGGATGTTTTATGGAGGGGGGGTTGCTATGCCAAAGTTGGCTAAGTACCAATAACTTAATTTCAGAAAAAAAGGTTGCTGGGTTAGAAATGTTCCTTATGAATGAAAATTCATTTATATTATGCGTTTTTAATAAAACCTTTTAAGAATACTTGTTACTGTTTGAGATTGATGTTTAGAAATATTAAACGAGTGTAGTTATATTTGCTATTTTCTTTGTCAATTAGAATTTCTTTTAACATTTTCCCTACTCACCTTTTTCAAACAAGAAAACTCACTATTTCACTACTTTTAATGTCATCTATACTTCGATTTTTTTTTAATGTGGTGTCTAAAGATAACACACAAAGAAGGGAGAGGGAAGGCAGACTACAATGGGAGCTGTAGTGACGTTGCAGCTCCCTATTGGAGTTTGCCTTCCCTCTCCCTTCTTCGTGCGTGACTTTGAGGCACCACGTTAAAAAAGAATCGAAATCTAAGGCTGAAAGGCCTCCAATAAAACATTTTTCAGTGTCTGGTCTGATACACTGATACTGGTCTGACTTTCTAATACAATTGTTTTGTAAAAATGTCCTCTTGTTTGGATATTTTGGTGGATGTTCACAAATATTCCGTGTGTTATGCCTTCCCTATGAAACATATCATGCTGGTGACCACTTTATTAAGTTGCCTTCCTTTTTTACTTTCTCGCTACTTCTTATGCATAGAGTCAGTCTCCGTCAGTCCGTAACACACCAGTGGCTAAACCATACATAGGATTTCTCCAAAAGGGATATTCCTCAATCAATCTGGCTCAATTTTAGGCTTTGCGATTTTGAATAACATTCTTTACAATGCGGGGAACTTGACATTAAGCATTTGGAAAATTTTCTTTAAAAACAGCTTCAAATTGTTTTTTTAAGAATAGAATAAAATACAGTTATAAAGATGGCATTAGTCAATGTTTTAACTTTTAACTCAGAATTTTCAAAAATTTCAGTTTCATAAAAGTTTTAAATTTTTGTGCCTTATTCCTACCATTTCAAAGTTGAAGATGCATAGAAAATAAATAATAAATAATAAACCAAAACAAGATTTTCTCGTAAACAACTTCAAACTTATTCTTTTAACTTTTTCTTTAAACTTATGTTGGAGATAGTGCTAAATGTACTTTGTAAGATGTTGTGAACACCATACTGCTCTATTCTTTTGTGTAAAAAGTAGCGGTGATTTGTTAACATTATTGCATTTATGAGTCAATGAGCTCTAAATTCTACATTTTAAGAAATGTTTAAAATTTTAAAAATGGCTTAAAATTATTTCTTCAAACTTATTGTGCGGATAGGGCTGTTGCACTGTTAAATATGTTATAAAGCGCATCATAAAATACACTTTTGTATTATTTTTTTTTGAAATATCTCTCATGTCATTAATAAGCACATTTCCAGTGATTTGCATACTTTATTTCATTTGTGTGTGGAAGAGCTTCAAACGATTTAAAGTAAGTTTTTCGAAAACCCAAAAGATTTTTGTGAAAAAGAGTTTTATATTTCACATTTACAGTAACACTTAAATGTTTTATTAAAAAGAGCTCCAAATTTTTCAATGAAAATTGCTTATAGGAAGAGGTTTTACTCTTCTATAATATTCTTGAAGTAATATCACGGTTCAACCTTAAGAAAACTGAAAAATTGATAAAATGTTTAAAAAAAATGTAATTTAGCAGAATAGATGGCCAATTGCAAAAAGATGGGGAAGACTGAAAATGTAGCCCAGACCGAAGTAAATAGAAAACTAGCCAGTATGAGTATGTCTGTGCCATTTTGCAGTTTCTTTTTAGTTCAATAGTGTTAATAGTGTAGATAATATAATACTACTTCGCCTATTTTTTTGGTTCTCTTGTCTCTCAGGTTTCATTACATTCCTCTGAAGCGTTGTCTCAAACTAGAGTTAACTGTTTAATTTCTATTTTTTTTTTAATGTTACTCTGCTTTTTGTATGTTGTTTGACCAAATCTTAGTTTGTTTTCCTATTTTTTAACTACATTTTGTGCATAGTAACTAACTGTTTATTTGTATTAAATGTGACATGTAGCACAATACCAAAACCGACTCTTCTTGATTCTGTCTTCACAGAATATTTATGAGCTATTTGTGCTATTGCAGTAAATCAGTGTATGGTTTCTTTGTATTTGTTCCAATCTGAACTTAGTACGCCTAAAATCGCCATTCTGTAGAGCTTGAGTTGAATAAGTCTTTCTTTACTTGATATGACTTGATTTAGTTTTGTGGGTTTTAGAGTTCAGTGTTTTGATGTGTGTAATACCAGTGCATGTGCATTTTAACCATTATGCAGATAAAAGTGCCAGAAACACTTTTTCGCATGCATGGGCTAGTAAAAATGTTTCAGGATAAGTTCTTGAATATTGTAGTTGTTTTTACGCAGGTTTACTCAAAGATATTAACTCCTCTTTTTTAATTTACCCAAACTGAAATTTAAAGTATTGTATTATTTTCATACATTTGTTTTTTGATTTTATATGGTATAAAAAAGAATTTTAAAATTAAAAATGCAGTGATTGTGTTGCAAATTCTCTTTTTACCACTGTGTTTATTGAAAATTCTTTCTTATATTGAACAGAAGTAAATACTCACTTAACCAAATTGCACAAGATTCTACTGTTGGACTTCTGAACAAAATTATTTCTATGGGGATTAACATAGCCGAAGTTTATGTGGATACTGTTGGCCCACCAGAAAAATATCAGGTGTGTAAAGTAAATCCCTTTATTTACTTGCTTTAGTTTTGTAGGGAGGAGTTAATTGCCATTCATGCTTTGAATGCAACTCTATTATTTTAGGACAAATTAAAATCTATATTTCCTGAATTCAAGATAGTTGTGGCTAAAAAGGCTGATTCATTGTATCCTGTTGTAAGTGCTGCTAGTATCTGTGCCAAAGTCAGTAGAGATACAGCATTAACGACTTGGGTGTTTACTGAGGACTTTGAAATATCTCTTGAAGAAATTGGAAGTGGATACCCTAATGGTAAGATAGAAGCAATGTGCAATTAACACTGAAGTATCCTAAGGTTTTATTTTAAAATATAATTTCTATTTTTCACAAGTCTTCATCACTTTTAGATGTGTTTCATGAGGAATTGGAATTTTAAAAAAATCTGTCAAAGTTTAATGTTCATTTAACTTGCTCTGTACATGGATATAATTTTTGTCCCAACAAGACAGGGGGATTTTACTTCAACATTGGGGCTGTGCCACATTCATGCACAAACCACTATACCTTGTTATGGTGAGAAAGATTTTGCAAGTAAATGATAAGAGCTGGGAGGTTGAAATTATGCATTCAATGTCAATGTTATATTGTGAGCCAAGCTTTACATTTCTTACTTGTAAGTTATTTAATGTTAATGTGGATTTTTTTTAAGTATTAATTTTTCTGGTGACATTTCACCAATATAATCTTGAAATATCCCTTTTTTTAAATCTCCAGAAATCTTTTCGCTTCATATGTTTAAAACATTCACTGTCAAACACACTCAACATTAAAACTCCTTCAAAAACAGGTTCAAATGAGGTATCAAAAAGCATGTAAGGATATTTCTTAAAGAATGCTTGGTTGCTGTTCATTTAAAACTAAAAGCATTAGGAGTGGACCAGGGGTTACAGATATAAGGGGCTGTCCAGAAATTAAGTAATGCAAATTTGCAGTATTTTGAATAGTCTCTCTCCACCTGTAAAGCTCCCATAATGTTTGACCCCCCC